TCGATTTTGAATTTCCAAATCGATATTGATTTCCCCTGTCGACATCGATCCCATTTCAATATTAATCTCTCATTTAGATATCTATTTTTCATTTCAATATTGATTTCCCATTTCGATTTGAACTTCTGATTTCAATATCGATTTCTAATTTCGATAGGCATTTCCCATGTCGATATCGATTTTCTATGTCGATATCGATTTCCCATTTCGATATCGACTTCCAATTTCTATATTAATTTCCCATTCCGATATCGATTTTCTGTACTGATTTCGATTTATTTCGATATCGACATCCAATTTCAATATCGATTTCCCATTTCGAAACGATTTTTTTAATTCAATATCGATTTCACATCTCGATATATATTTCCCATATCAACTTCCCATTACGATATAGATTTCCCAATGTGATGGATCTTCCATTTCGATATCGATTTGTCATTTCGATAACATTTTTCACTTTAATATCGGTTACACGTTTCGATACCGATATCCCATTTTGAAATCAATTGTCCATTTCGATATCGATTTCGATTTCCCACTTCGATATCGATTTAAAAATTCAATATAGATTTCCTATTTAGTAATCGATATTCCATTTCGATGTCGATTTCCTATTTTAGTATCGATTTACCAATTCAATTCTGATTTCCCATTTCGATATCGATTTCTCATTTTGATATCGATCTTCCATTTCGATATCGATTTCTCATTTTAATATTGATTTCACATTTCAATACCGATTTCGCATTTTGATATCGATTTTCCATTGCTATATCGATAGCCATTTCGATATCGATTTCCATTTTCAATGTAGATTTACTATTTCTTTATCAATTTTCCATTTTATTGTCGATTTCCTATTTTAATACCGATTTCCCATATGATATGAATTTTCCATTTTTTATCGATTTTTCATCTTGATATTGATTTCTCTTTCCGATATGGATTTCCTATTTCCATATCAATTTTCCATTTCAATATCAATTTCCCATTTTGATAGCGATTTCCCAATTCGATATTGATTTTCCTGTTTACATGTATTTCCCGTTTCGATAGCGACTTCCTATTTTGATATCGATTTTCCATATGATATCGATTTGCTATTTCAATATTGATATCCCTTTTGATATCGAATTCCCACTTCTATATCGATTTCCCATTTCGATATCGTTTTCCCATTTCAATATCGATTTCAAATTTCGATATCGATTTCACATTTCAATATCGTTTTCCTATTTTGATATTAATTTCCCATTTCGGTACCAATTTTCCATTTTGAAATCGAAATCTAATTTTTAAATTTTTTCCCCAGTTGACTATTGATCTCATTTTGATATCAGTTTCCTATTCGATATTAATTTCCCATTTCGATATCGATTTCCCACGAAGAGGCAATTTTTAAATTTTATACAATTATTTTCTCAGAAATGGCTCCAAATATCTTCTTTATTTTTTCTCGTTCTTTTTTTATTATTATTATTTTTAAAGTATTCTTTGAGATGATTTGCATTCGCGACTGGATGCGCGATGAGCCTTTTCGCAATTTACACACTTTATCAATTCGTTTGAACAGACGTGGAATGTGGACCTGAACACTTGCTGCAGCGTGGGTGATATGATGGTTGCCTTTTATATTTCAGGATTAGAGAACAAAAACAAATATTAATCATCGAAAATCACTTTATTGTTTTTCAAAATATTCCCCATGCAGGTTTATACACTTTTGCGTGCGTTTGAACCAATTGTCGAAGTTTGTTTGCTACTCTGATTGAGGTATCTCCAAAACATGCATTCTGAATGCAGCAACCGCTTCTTCAGTTGTCGAAAAAAGTTGAACTCTCAGTTTGTTTTTTACGTACGGGAATAAAAATAAGTCATTCGGTGCTAAGTCAGGACTATATGGCGGATGACTCATCAAATCGATGTTTTGGGTGCTCAAAAATGCAGTTGTTTGAGCCGATGTGTGAGAGCTCGCATTGTCGTGGTGAAGAGTGATCCGTCTTCGGCGGTTGCTTTTCTTGATTTCTTGGAAGACAGCTGGGAAGCAAATCGTTGTGTACCACTCAGAATTGACTGTTCTGCGTTGTTCTAGTGGTACGGTTGCGACATGTCCAGTTTTTCCGAAAAAAACAGGCGACCATCTGCTTGGAAGTGCTTCGTGCGCAAACAACTTTCGTTGGATTTTGTTCATCTTGAAACATCCATACAGTCGACTGCTGTTTACTTTCAGGCTCATATGCGTAAATCCACGATTCATCACCTGTCACGATTTCTTAGACGTATTTCGAAGCACCGCGATCGTATTTTTTGAGCATTTCTTTCGACCAATCGACACGAGCCTTTTTTGAGCGATTGAAAAATTGTGTGGGATCCAACGCGAACATTTTTTTTGACAGTCAAATGTTCATGCATATTGAATGTATGCTGATCCCACTAATTTTACGTGAAGTATAGACAATTTAATTATTTAAAATAATTTGTTTCCCCAAAACCGTTACAATTTTAATTTTTGAATTTTCTCCACATATGCAATAAGTGACGGTAAACAATACGGCGCTAGTCCCATTTTCGGCAAACCCTCCACTTATTCGAAAATTGCAAAAAGTTAACTTTTAGAAACTAAAAAATTAAAGGTAGAGATTTGTGCCCCAGACAAAGTCTATTGTAAAAGTCAGCACCAAAAAAATGACAATTTTTTGTAAAAAAACGAGTATCTTTCGCGTGATTTGTGATCGAAATTTACGCAGTTAATATAAAAATAATTTTCTCTAAATCCGCTCTCAATGTTTTTTTTAATTTTTTCTCATGTAAAGAAGAGGGGATGCTTGAAGGAAATCTCTTTAAGGGACGCTTGATAGAGTACGCGCGTCTCATTTTCGCTCCAATATAAATATTCGAAAATTTGAAATTTAGAAATAATGCGAGAAAGTTTGTGCTGTTGTGGCTTCACCAGTTTTTCTTTAAAGTGGAGCATACACAATTAATGTAATGCAAGAAACTGACTTATAAATAACTAGACTAATATGAACAAGGATTGAAAAATTTGTTAGATTAAAAAAAACTATTACTATTTTAAAACTTGAAACTATAAATACGTTTTCAAAACAAAAACCACAGACTATAATTGCACTAAAGATTTATTTTATTAATGTGAATGATGTGAAATTCCAAAAGGTGAGCAAATTTCTAAATTATCATTACATGTTTTATAGATTTGTATAAGTAAAATAATGAAATTTGTAAATATTTTTGTAATAAGTGCGATCTTCAGCTTTATTACACCAATCAGTCGTCGGTTCGTACTTGGACCCCCAATCGAACCCTGTACAATGTCATCGACCCCCAATCGAATCATTTAGAATGTCATCAACCTTGGGGGATCGATACCGACTCCGTTGAGAGGCCTGGTTTAGGCGCTAGCAGTGACCCCAGACGTCCAGACGAACAAACGGACAGGCAGCCATTCATTTTTTTTCGTTTTCAGGACCCGGAAATAAGCGTTTTTCTGTCGATAATGTGCCGTTTTCTGGTGCACGATTCCAATACTTTCTCTTAGAAAGTAAGGGCGAGGAAGTAAAAGTAGAGAATAGGGTACAATGTTAATACAATGAATAAGTGTTAACGTAGATTTTTTCATAGGAAAATGTCAGTAACTTGGTGTATAAATACTTCTACTAGACTTTGGTTTAATATCTTTATTTCAACACATTTGTTCTTTCATCTTGTATTTCTAGAAATCATTCTGTGACGCAAATAATGCGTCACTCTCTATACAAGGGTTTAATTTGAGAAACATAATAATATAACAATGAGAAAGTTTCATAAGTTCTTTAGTAAAAATCGCGATATGGAAATTCTGGATGAGCATCAAATCTGAAAAAAAGAAAAGGAGATATGTAAATGAATTTTCTAAGAAAGCACAATCTCACGTTTCGGGTTTGTCATTTTTACAACACCATACTATAGTTATTAGTGAATATACTCACGGCTGTGAAGATTCATTAAAAATTCGCGCACGTCGACCTTTATCTAAAGCATTTAGATCATCCATCTCATCTGTAGTTAGTTCAAAATCGAATACCTGCAAAACCATTGGATTATATATCAAAATAAAGAAAACAAGTTATAATACTCGTACATTAAGACATTTCTATGAAGTACCGGATTGAGCAGGACCTCCAAACACAAAATCGTTTTGCTTTCTGCCCTCCGGGAGGGAGCATATTTATACATTCAGTTACAAAATTAATATGAACTTATTATGTCTAATTCGACACGTATATCATTTGCAAATACATTTTAGCATGGTATACTATTTTGTTTTTGATTTTCTTTTTACAGAAACAAACCTATTTTATTTTTTTCGATTATTTATGATTTTTGTCGGCTTGCCAATGGATAGGGGCCTCTAAGATATTTTGCTTATACAAAATCCGACCATGTATCTATGAGGGAAATGAGTTAAACATTACCAATAAACTGAAGGATTTCAGCTAAAAAATCAACCTTATTTATTTTTAACTTTAGGTCTGATTGAATACATTTATACATTCAAACCTTATTAAGACTATAATAGAATTTCCTATTAAAAGAGTCTTACATCAATGTTTTCCTTTATCCTTTTTGGATTAGAACTTTTAGGAATAACTGCAATGCCCCTCTGGATGAGGTGTCGCAGCAACACCTGTGCTGGAGACTTCTTGTACTTCTTGGCTATGTTTAGGACCACTGGTTCTGTTAATGGCGTAACGCTGGGAACCCTGAAAAAATCAAGAAATATTCTGAAGGGCCAAAAAAATTGTTCGAACTCACATGCCCCCTCTCCTAATTCACCATACGACATGTACAAACACCAGAAGTATTTTGGAGCCTGTCACTATTCCATATTTACAACGCGTACCAAGGACACCGTTCTAGTAGAATAATGGAAAATATCATCGCTAAGTTCGCGACAACACATACTTTCTTTCATCTGTCTATAGGAACAACGCCTTACTATTGCTTTGATCAACCAAGTTCGTCGTGCATTGAAAATGTCTGGATAGTGTTCAAACGAAGGATGCCCCTATCTTATTGCCCAACAGGATGTCTTGATGTAGAGATTACAATCTGTATATCTCATGTGACACCAATTCACAGCGACATTTAATGCAATGCCATAGACATGTACCGTTGCTTGTAGATGTTAAAGGCAAGCAAATTTCGGATACCGTACAACACTGGAGTCCTTGCATAATATTTCTCACCGTAACGAGGCATTACTCGTGGTATGCAGTAAAATTCATAATTATTTCAAATCTTTCAGTAATATTTGTAAATTACCCGCAATAGTAATTACTATTGAACGGAAAACAGTAAGACTGAATTAAAAGACCTTCGCAGTTTATCTATGATTGCAGGTCCGGATTGGATAGAGTGAACAGGCTCTAGCGGCTTGCTTCTGTGTGGGTTAGCCTCGCAAAAACGTCAAGAAAGCCTCCCACACCCCAGCTTCGCACACTGAACCATAGATTAATGGAACTACACTCTTTAGTCTATGTCTGAACCGCCCTCCGCACCAGCGCAAGCCAAGAGGGTCACCCACTTGACAAGAAACTCATTTAAAATAGTACTGGCATTCTGAAAATAATGAAAAATATCGTTCAAAGTGTTTCGTTTAGGTGAACTTGTTATTACTTCTGTGTGGCAATGCAATTTATTTTAATAGTGTACTCTTTTGACGTCTTCGAAGATTTCATACAGTAATAACTGTGGAATCATCTTTTATCGCTACATTGAATCCGGACATTTAAGAATAGATTTCTGATGTACGAGATTCTCAAAAATTCCGAACACACCACTGATATGAAATACGCGCTTGTATGTGTAATCCATACAAATATTGGAATATGTATCGTGAGTTTAGTGAAATGAAGTTAGTTTCCGCACACTGTTACACTTATTAAAACCTTTATTCCATCTTAAGAATGCCCAAATATTAGAAATACTCTGCTCTTTCGTGAAGTCATAATTTTGCCCAAATTGAAGAGCTTGAAGGAAGTTGCCTCACCTCTTGGCTCTTCTTGCACTTAAAAATATTCGGTAGGGCTGATGAAAACAGCCACACTGATGGAAGTGCGTAAATATGAAAGGAAATCTTAGCTGAGAATGTGCTTTTCCGACCAAATAGAGACTATATTCCATGCGATTGAGAAGTTTGACAGGATACGTCTCTTCGCTAAAATACGCCATCGCCGCACCAATTCGTGCCAAAGTCTTGATCCAGACATTTGGATCTTTAAAGTACAATTATAATTACATTCGGTTAAATTAGAATAAACAACCTCTCGGAGGTTTAAAAGCAATGA